AAAAGATGAGAAAGGAGGAGTTGTGGAAAAATAGATGCACTGATACATTGTTGGTAGAGCTGCAAATCAATCCATTCATTCTGGAAAGGGAATTTGGTATTATGTGAAGACAGTGACCAAAATAGTTATACCCTCTGACCCAGAGATTCTTCAGCAAAGTAGGGGTATACCCCAAGGAGGCCAGCTACCAAAAAAAATGATGCTAAATACACCACAATATTATTAGAAGTCTTTTTTTGTATGAGCAAAAACCTGGCAGCTAAGTCAGTGCTTATTGATTAGGGAATGGTTAAACCAACTGATACATGGCTATAAGGGTTGGATAGTACTGTGCAGTAGGAAATGTTGAATATGGAGAAACCTGGGAAAACTTTCATGAACGGGTGCCAAGTGAAGTAAGCAGAACCAGGACAAATCATGTCCATAGTGACCAGACATGTGACTGGAAAGAACAACGCAGCTCAATTGTACCTGAAGGTTGTGGGATGATGATGACCCAAGCTGGCCCCAAGAAGGCGAGGAGAAGAAGGCACCTGCCCCTGCTTCATGGAAGAGGCCAGAGGAACACGGCACGTGACATTGGGCTTTCCTGGGAGGTTGACTCCCTGGGAAAGGCATGGAGGAGGGATCCATGAAAAATGGAGGGGATGCAAAATCAAAATATAGCAATAAGAAATGATTTGACCACATCCAAAGAAAGAACTATGGAGTTTGAATGCAGATCGAAGCATACTATTTGCTCTTTTTTTTTCCTTCTGTTTTGTTTTGTTTTCTCTTTCTTGTGGTTCCTTCTATTGGTTCTAATTCTTTCTCACAATATCACTAATGTGAAAATATGTTTAATAGGAATGTATACATATAGCCTATATCAGATTACATTCTGTCTTGGGGAGGGAAGTGGGGAGGGAAGGGGAGAAAAATTTAGAACTCAAAAGCTTATGGAAATGATTGTTGATAAATCAAAATAAATAAGTTAATTAGGAAAAAAAGAAATGATTTGAAATGCAGAACTATAAACCTTACTAGCTCTGGAGCTGACAAGGATCACCCTGACTTACTGGGCCTCAGTTTCCCTAATTGGTAAACTAGGTGGTCTCTAAAGTGCTTCCAGTCTAATCTCCGAGCCTCTGAAGCTGGGGACTTCATTTCATGAGGCTGCAGCATTTTCAAAATTAAAGGCCCTTCATTTGACAGATGAGGGAACTGAGACCCCAGGAAGTGACGGGACTTGTCCTAAAGTCACGTGACAAAATAAAGCACACACCTGGGATTTGAACTCAGGTCTACTGACTCTAGATCCAGTGTTTGCTATACACGAGCCGTCTTCCCTAATGAATCAGTGCCCCATTTTATAGAGTCTATAATTATCTTGTTCATTGGGACAGAAATATTTCCTTTGGAATCAGTGAAGATTTTCATATGTTGATGGATATCCGCTCTAAGTTATCTTCCCAACTGCCTTTCTCTGCTCCTGATTTGCATTTTAATTTAAGAGCTTAAATCTCATTAATATTGGAAGGCTCATGGATGTCATGAGTGTGGGTACTTCCTACACCAATGGAGGCTGCATCCCCTCTCATTAAGTCTTGCTTAAAATGAAGGGGATAATTTACATTTAACATGGACATAGCCTAATGAAAAGATAACCAGACTTTATCAAATTTTTCATACAACCCACAGAAGGACATGGAATTCAGGCCATCTTCACTTGATAAAAATTCAGATGGGAAGACCACTCCCTGCTGTGGAGTTAGTCCACAGAGCTACTGAGTGGACCAGGGTATCCAGAGGATAGTGGTCTGAAAACATAGCTAGTGTCCATGTCACTTGACCTCTCTGTGACTCAAGTCTCCTTCTCTGTAAGGTAAGGGTGTTGGATTCAAAAGTCTCTGGGTTCTCTTCTAGGTCTAAACCTCGAATCCTATGCCTGAGAATTGCATTGTGTTACTCTTAGCCTCCCTGGGAACCGGTGAGAATACTTTTACAAAAATTTCCCAAGATGAGAGAGTTTTGATCACAGTCCAACAGACTGTGCTGAAATTGATGAGTGATCGCCATGTCTGTTTAGACGAATATATAATAAAAGAACTTAAAACCACCAAACATTTCACTCTGATAAAAAGAGAACATTCAATGGAAATCATATTGGGATTTTCATTGACAGAAAGCATGGACCCTGGAGCTATTGAATATTAAGGATGATGCTATTATTTTACTTATGGAATAATTTCTTCAATCCTTACTATGTTTCCTTCTTTTGCATCTTTTCTCAGAAAGAACAAAGTATCTTTGCCATCTTGCCTAAGAGCCCGATGGCCAATACTGGAGAACTTGGATTTTGGGTGTCCCAAGGGTAGCCATGTTTCCTGGCCCTTCACACACTACTTGCTCAGAAAGTGTATTTGCTGGGCTCATTTAATCAAGTTTCATGTGTAAAGGCAGGCTTGTACAGCCCCTACATTCCCCAGCCTCTCATCTGCCTCAAGAGACCATTGTTCATGTTGCTGAATCTGGTGGGAAGAGAGACATGTTGATTACAGGCCAACAGAGTGTGCTGAAATTGATGAGTGATCGCCATGTCTGTTTAGAGGAATATATAATGAAAGAACTCAAAACCACCAAACATTTCACTCTGATAAAAAGGGAATGTTCAATGGAAAAAAAATCTCTCCCCATAATGCACTGGTTCTCATAAGAGCTTCAATTTTCTGTGTGCCAAACCTAGAGGAATTTTATGAAATGTGGTTTTGAAACATGCTTTGAAATAAATTTCTGTTCATGAAATAGACTGCCAACCGTCAGACTGATAACCGCAGCCTGAACTCTAAAAGGGTCTGACTCCACTCCAAGATTCATTTTTTCAATGAAAATGCACACCCACTTTATTAGCCACCAAGATAGGTCTGGCTCTGATCAATACCGTGGCACTGGAGGGAATTCTAATGAACACAAACAAGGTAGTGAACACCCCAGGCTTCCTCCACCGGAAAGGGACGTGGAGCTTCCTTTCTCATCTTGCTTCAAGAAACTTAACAATCTCTCGTCCCTCTGACTGGAATGCAGCGCACAGTCAGGTGGGTGGGTGGGTGAGGGCGGTTGGGAGGCAGAATGTGGGAACTCTTTAGTGGGAGACCAAAGAGCTTTGATTCTATCCTGAAGCCAATAGATGGTGAAAATTCTGTAGCAGAGAGTGGGACAGTCAGATTAGATAACCCTAAATTAGGGAGATTGATTTGGTAGATGTGAGAAGGATGAATGCATTGAAAGAAGGAGGAAATATAGTACCATGGAGGGCCTCAGAGGCTGCCTAGCCAATTTTATAGGTGAGAAAACTGGGGCTCAGAAAGCAAAAGTCTCAGAACTAGGAACAGGCAGGGCCTCAATGAATCCCCTACTTCTCTGACTAGGGTTTCCCTCAGCTATGCCGCCAAAGGTGAAGCAGGTAGGAAGGATGCAGGGATGATCCTGCTGATGGGGACCAGCCTCGTCATCTCAGAATCTATGTTCATCTATGGATGAGTCCACTAGCCATCTTAAAGCGGAATGGGCCTGGAATTCAGGAACCTTCCTCCTCTGGACACAGCCGGGAATCAT